ATTTAATTATATAAGAATAAAAAATAATAAAAACAAACAATAGATGCATTCAGTGGCATTAAGATCAAGGAAGATATTGTAATATCCCTAGTGGAGTTTACAGTATAGAATAGTAATATCGTTTGATGATGAATGATATAATAGAAATGTATAAAATCAATAATTTAGCATGAATCTGACTCTTTTTGGAATCGGAGTGTTGTGAATCTGGATGTGGAGGCCGAATGCCGAATTTTGATAGGTAGAGAATTCCAGAAACTGACAGCGGGAGCTAAAAAGGAGTTTTTAAATGACAGTCTGGTATGAGGATTCCAAGTTAGACGTATGTCCAAGTCCAGACCAAGGTATCGGATTTGTTCAACAGGGATAAGTGGGATATTATTAAAGGATACTGTAGGACAGGTCATAGGTTTACGGCGGAGGGTAAAGGTGATTTAATGAGATTTATTAGTATTTATTTTAATCCTCCAGTTTCGACACCATTCTTCAAGGAGGTTTGTGATGTGTGATTTAAGAGTTTGGGATGCAATGGTTGGATCATTATTAATGGATAGGACACATGTATCATCGGCATACGTGGTAATAACAATGTTAGGATCAGTATTTTTATATTAAATTTTATACTTAAATGAGAAGGCTATAATCATTGGGTCAACATTTTATTATTTTTATACAATGTAAAACAATTTATACATCAGGTAAAAGGAATTGATGTATTTTTTTTACTAATAATTTTTTGTTTACAGCTCATACCATCTCCAATCCGGTATTTCGCATTATCCTGTACAGAACCAGGTCATTTTCCCGGGTAAACTATACTCTAATATTTGTGCGCAGTATGTACTAGACTACTACCCGTGAAAACATTAAACGATATTTTAATTTATAAATAGAAAAATCCAAACAACAAAGCAAAGAGCTTCCAATTATACAGGCGAATTACGAACGAACATGGCAATGTTTTTCGCCAATTCAGGCTTCATCATGACAGAGAAATCAAGATCACCTATATGCAAAAAGAAAGCAAAAATTGTTACTGTAGACATCCCACCAAACCCATACTGAAGGAATGAGAAGGTTCTATTAACACTGCTAAGAAAGGCTATGTTAAAGGAATAAAATGAAGACAATGAAAAAAAAAATACAAACAACTAAAATATAATAATGCATAATGCGTTTAATTTTTTTTTTTAATTTATAACACTTATTTATTGAAAAATATTATAATCTCTCTCTAGGACATTTATAATTGAGTTCACAGATCACATTCACACTCTATGTACAATAAATAAAATAAATTATACAGAAAAATAATATATATAAAATAAATAAGAATAAAATAACCTAAAAATAAATAAATAAAAAGAACACATACACACCTATATACAATATTTACAATTTGGCGAGAGAACTCCAAACCAGACTTGTCCCTCCAACTGTGGAGGAAAAAGTATGACTCCAGGAGTTCCCTGCACTCCTCTCTCAACCGCGTCACTAGGGCTAAACCCAGTGGAGATTGAGCAAGAGTGCTTTAGCCACATACACTCATGTCGTGAGTGGAGAAACTGGCCATTACCAGAACTCCAATATTTTTAAACTATAAAAGATCGCGGGGCCACTGCCGTTTTAACCACTTTGGAGGATTATATGGATGGGTGGTGGATAGAGTTTGTGCAAAGGGATTTGGATGATGGGTAAGGTTCTGGTGGAATTTTGCTGGGATAAGGTCTAGGACAAATGGCATATTAAGATCATGGTGTAGGGTTTTGTTGGTTACATAGAAAGGAGCATTGATTATTGTTCGAAGGACTTTGGATTGGGAGGATTGGATGCGTTTGATGTTAGACAATTTTGCTGTTCCCCACAGTTCAAGTACGTAAGTCCAGATAGGTTTCAGTAATATCTTGTAGATCAGTAATTTGTTTTCAATGGAAAACTTAGATTTTCTGTTTAGTAGCCGGTATAGTTGTCCGTATCATAGGTTTAGTTCCTGTCTTTTAAGTCTAGTATAAGGGTTCCACGTTAGTCGTCTGTCTAATAGAAAGCCAAGGTACCGAACTGTGTCTGAGAAAGGAAGCTTAATGGAATTAAAGGTGGACAGGAACTGCATCGGAGCGTGAAGGTGATCTGTTAGCATTTGAATTAGTTTACTTTAATACGATACGTTTAATTAAATAAAATAACAAAGTAGTAAATTCAAAAGAAAAAGCTCGAATGTATATGAAACATCCATATTCAGTGAAATTTAGTGGATTCACCAGGCCATTCCACAAGTAATATTACAAAATAAGAATAAAGTTAGGAAAGGAACATAAGGTAATTATGTTATATGTGGAAAAATAAAAACATTAAAGCCATGAGTCACCAAAATATTTTTTTCTTTTTGTTATCATTTTTATTTATTCGTTCTATTTATTTTATAGTTTTTCTGCCCTGATGATGCCTGAATTGGCGAAAGGTTGGCAAGTTAACTATTCGTCTGTTTGTTTGGAGACTCATGGATTTGTAGTTTGGTGTTTTCCATTTATAACATAATTAATTACCTTATGTCTCTTTTATAGCTTGATGCTTATTTTATAATATTTATACTAAAATTGATATAAATGAAAATAAATATCAGATGTTAACATACAGCACGTTATATGAATCTCACAATTACTAAAAAAAAAAATAATAAAAATCTTATAATAAGATGTATACAGTTAATTTTGAAAAGACATATTCTTTTTTTGAAATACAGCGAAATTTAAATACTCGGTTACACTTCATGGTTCAATAAAATATTTTTTAAACATATCAATCACATAAATATGTTTAAGTAACTTCTCTCTTAAGACAACAATTTTAACAATGTTGTAAAGCCGTATTTGTTCGGTTATTGGTTCCAAGTTGGACTGGCTTTAAGGGATTTAGGGCCTACAACTTGTGAATGATACATATTGAAAGGGATTGCCAATATCCCTAAGTTTGGAGGGAGTCTATATCAACAATGGTCTGTCAATGGTTCTTGTTCGAAACAAGACAGCAGTTGATGAACTGAGCAATACAGTTTCCAACAATGGCTATTTATTCAACGAGGTAATGTTCCTCCTCTACAAACTCTTTCTTTAATATTAAGTAAACAATACAACCTGAGTTTCAGTATTAAAACATAGACTATGTAAATAATAATTTTAAAAAAATCATTTAAATTAAAAGAAAAATGATGATCTACTCTGTATATAATGCGATGGAATAGATAGTATAGAGGCTCTCAGCAGCGATGGATTTTGATAAACGAGGTATCAAACGATTGGAAATTTCATGTGAAAATGATACGTTCTAACTTCGATCAATTAATTTCTATAACAACTTTAATAAAGGTCACTGAAAAAAATTGAAAGTTCAAAAATTAAGATCGTTTCAAAACTTTACTGAACAAGACGCAATATTTTTTGTTTATAGATTTTAACGCGGACACCAAGACATGTTTTTGTTTCTGCGTTTTACAGCTGTATAATTTCACATTTAGAGACGCTAGTTCGAAGGAATACTTATAACATTTTCAGGTTTAATAATTAAAATACTGCTATTTATGATAGTCTCAACTGAATATCTCTTAAAAAGGATGAAAGAGGAGAACATCTCTGCTTTTCATTGTTCACTTCGGATGGTAAATAAATAAAATTGTTGATAGTTTTAATAAAAAAAAAAAAAGTTTCAAATTATATATTTCTCTAATCCTAGTAAAGAAAAATACTTCTAGAACTAAAACATAGAAACTTCTACATCAAGCATTTTAGGTCATGGGCGAGTACATCAATGGATTGTACTAAACACTTTAGATATACCACTACCGTTGACACTACCACCTCACTTGTTCACTCCTTCACAAGTTGCACAGGAAATCAAACATCCACCCACAAGAAATGCACCAGGTTATGAGTTAATAACTGCCGATGCGGTTCAGCAAATGCCCAAGAAACCACTAGTGTTCCTTACAACAATATGACAACTGTATCCTGAGGACAACTAAATTCCTATTACAATGGAAATATTCACATATAAAAATGATATATAAAAAGTACAAAGACATTTTCAATCCCTCTCTTACTACCGACCAATAAGTCTTCTCTCAATATGTTCTAAACTTTTCGAAAAATTAATCTACAAAATATGGGTTGGCATACTGACTGAGAAAAATATAATTCCTGACCATCAGTTCGGTTTTCATACGTTCCATTAAACAACTCAACCATTACACAGAGTTACTGACTACATTGCTGGGAACAATAGAGCAAAACAATACGCAACCGGCGTGTTTCTGGATGTCTCCCAGGCATTCGATAAAGTCTGACATCAGAAACTTTTCTTTAAACTCAAAACTCTACTGCCTCTTACATATTACCTCATTCTCCAATCTTTCCTTTTCGATCGATTTTTCGCTGTTCGACAGAGCCTAGAAATTTCCTCAATTCGACCAATGACTCTACAGTATATATACGCATGACATACCTATAAACTCCGAAACATTGACCGCAACCTATGCCGATGATACAACAATTTTAATCCTAAACATGACTCATTTAAAAAAACTAATCATTTCAATCCAAAATTTTACGAGATATAACAGAAGCTCTCTTGGTAACAGCAAAAGTATACATAACAACTTACGACAACCAACACATATGTATTATCTACTTTCGTTTTCATCTCAAACTACACGGACACACAGACTTATGAACGACATGGCCACGACTGACATCGCCATCAGGAGGAGACTAAAAAGGAGCTGTATTAGAGATCTCACCTATACATTGAAAGGAAATAATGACCAAGAAGAGGCGATGCTGGTTACTATCCTTCCTCGTGCCTGTAATGTCAATCCTTATTTTTTGAGTGTTGTTAATACTGATTGTCAATATCATGAGAGCTACAGATAAATATTTAAAGAGAAAAAATCTTTAATAATAAAATATTAATTAATGGATAAATACCTGATATTTTAATGATTTTTTGTTTTAAAAATATTGGTGAATTAATTGAGCTAGAGAGAATTTTATACGGTAGACTGATCTCTTCGTATTTTCTGCCAACTTTTTAACAGCTGAACAACTCTACAAAACATCGGGTGTTTTAAGCAACAAAAGAATGCCTTAATTCAAAACGTTAAAGCCTGTTGGAGCCTCCTTGCTTAAAAGAAAAAAAAAGATGTAAATTTATTTATTTTTTCAGTGAAGTATCTTCGTAAAATTAACCTTTCATAAAATACAGTGCGATCAACTTTCAAGCAATATTCAAACAAATATTTTAATTCAAACGAATTATGATAAATATAACGAAACCACACTTCAGTAAACTTAAACAATATTGTTTAACATTTAATAACATTGTTCAAATATCGCTACCGTTAGTGTCAAACGTCGTATGTAAATATTGATATATATATATTTTTTTTACAGAAGTACATAAAACTAATTAATTCTTTATGATTTATTGGTTTAATTTCATATTTTATTTCCGTCTGCTATTTTTCTATTTAGCAGACTACTTATAGTGGTTGAGACTATTTAATGTCAACTATCTAATGGCAAAGAGAATAAAAAAGTAAAATCGATAAATAAGACATTACATACTAACAGTGGTAATATGCTGAAATGATACAAAATCCATTTTGGTAGCCACATAATAAAATTATATAAGGTCCTCTGGTTCACTTCCACATCTTTTGGCCAGCGTAACCTTGGTCATAACCGTATTCTTTTTTCTCCAGGTTATCTTTCCATGACCATATTGGTTGTTTGTATTCCACTTCATTCTCCTTGGACAAGACTCAACAATCTTACGCTTCGTTGACAAAAACAAGATCTCAACGATAGTGTTTCAAGACAATCGTGGTATACAGGAGTCACAATGGGAAAAATTAGCCTTAACCAATGGGTTAAAATGCTACATTTGAGGATTTTAAACCGTTCTAAAGAACTTCACTAGGATTCAATATTGGCGTCTGAATTATTTAAGAACTATTTGTTGGAGTTTTGTTAAAGCAGCTGTAATAGTTTAAGTATCGAGATTTGCCAATTATCTTTTTTTTATATTCCTTTTGTCAAAATCGATTGCTCCTCAGAGCTAACGTTTTAAGTTTTTATTGACGTAAATATGGTAAAATCCTAACAAATTAATAAAAAAAATTTGTGTTCTCCCCTTCCTCGCCGTTAAGGCTATACAGGGTTTTCCCGTTCCTTATATATGTATAAATAGCTGATCTCTCTAAATCAATAAAAAATAAGTCAAGTGCCTGAGAAAATGATTCAGCTCAGTTCATATGATTCAGATGAACAACCTACCATCATTGCTTACTAAGAACTCTTTGATCAGCTCATGAGTTGAAATCAACACCCCAATTTATTATTATTATTTGTTTTTGGTGTCTTTACCTAGGCGACATAATATTTTCTATCTCTGCTAATTTTAGGCAATCCGATTTATCCATCTGGGTTTTGTCCTTCCGTATCATGTCTCTTGCCCACTATTTGGCATTTGTTGTTGTGTAGAGGCTTCCTAATGGATTACTCTGATCTACATGTCCATCCATCTTACCCTCCTATCCTACTTATCATGTGATATTGTTTGACTAGTTTCTGTTATAATTTGTTTCTTGATATTTATCCTCCATTCTTTAGTACTAGTGGTGGAATATTTTCTTCACAATTTTATTAATATTTCCTCCTACTGTGCTATTGAGTGCCCTCAAGTAAGTACAATTACCTAAACATATACTATTCGATATTATTTTCATTGCTTACATATCGTTCTATAACTGAAATTTATTAAGTCATCTACGATCAACCCTTATTTTGAGAATGTTATTGCAATATTTTCCTAACCTCACAGCGTTTATAAGACTCTCAGTTGAAACAAATTGAAAACATTATCATTTTACCACAGTTAACGGGTTCTTATCAAGCTACGACGACAGAGAGAAGAGGAATATTCAATAGGAGGCCTGGGCCAAAAAGGGCAGTAGGAGATAGAGGAGGTGAAGAAAGGCCCTATTAATGTATGCAGCGGTACAAGAACCCTAAAGGATGCTCTGTTTTGCGGCCGCTGGGCCATCAGTCAGCCTGGCCTTCATTTATTCTACTTCTGGTCAGTCCCTCTTATTCAGTTATCTTTCAACTGTTAGTTAGTGGTACTGCGGTATGCATAGAGGATGGTTATGGTATTATCAATGGATATCCACCAATATATTGCTGATAACTATAACATATTTGTTTTACTGTATGTACTCATATATGAAAAATATAGTAATGAAAAGCTATTTCATGGTTTTATCGCTTATTTGAGCATAGTTTTCCAAATAATAACAAAAAATTAAATATTTGCCAGATGGGAGCAAAATAAAAGAAAATTGTGAGTGTGCAAGAATAAAAGGCGTTATTGTGAATCAAAATTAAGGCTGAATAGTTAACAGAACTGGCGTAGAGATGTGGCGGCCCCATCGCCCAGCCGTAAGGCTGCAACCAGCCACCGGTTCTCCAGGTGGGGGGAAAAACTCACACTAACATGCACACAGTACTCTATAACAGAACAATACAACACCCTTCATTACATGCAAAGGTCAATCACAGTACACACCCCAGGATCACCTCCCCTGGGTAGCCGCCCCGGATGGGGGAATGCGTCAGGGCGCTCATAGGAGGCAGCGTTTCTTCCTGACTCGGGAGCAATGGGCCGATAACCCATTCCCCCAAAATTCAATTATCACGAAACCTCTACAAAGCACAGAAGCCGGACTGATTTCAAGGAATAGACCCAGGAACCGCTATCATGACTTACGAATAGCTTATTGGAACATTTTATCCCTACAAAGACCATGAGCTCTCCGGGCGCTCCTTGTAGGACTTGCCACATACCGCGTGGACATTGCAGCAATCCAGGAGGTACGCTGCCTAAGATGTGGCTCGCTAGAAAATAGGTTCCACACAGTATATTATATTGGTGCCATGAAAGGAAACATGCTTTTGTCACAAGATTTATAGTTAGAGGAAGAGCACGCCAGCTTGTCCTTAAATTCAAGCCTATCTCTCCCCGACTGTGTTATATGCGTATCAAGGGAAGGTTCTTCAACCTATCTATTATAAACTGTCATGCACCAACTGAAGTCTCATCAGACGAGGATAAGTATATTTTCTACGAAGCATTGGTAAGCACTTTCAGGAACTGCCCCGAAAATGATAGCAAGATCATTCTATGTGATCTTAATGTCCGAATTGGCCAGGAATCCATTTATCGTCCAACAACAGGAGCCTTTAGTCTACATGAAAGCACAAATGAGAATGGTCTAAGGCTCATAGACTTTGCTCCAGAACAAGGTCTAGTCATTGGCAGCACATTGTTTCCTGGCAAGAACATCCATAAAACCACTTTGAGATCGCCAAATGTGGCAGTCATAAACGAAATAGACCACATTTTAATTAGCTCACGCCACAGATCTAACCTTATTGGAGTTATAGTCTACAGGGGCGCAAACGTCGACTCGGATCATTTCTTGAGCATCGCCAGGATCCGCCCTCGAATATCAATGAAAAGATATGTAGCATCTGGTTCGGCCCAACAGAAATATGATGTATCCATACTAAAAGACATGAAACAGTGTATAACATACCGGCAGCGATTGGGAATTTAACTGGCGGAGGAGTTGAGAGAGAGAGCCGAGACAGTTAATGATCAGTTGGCAGGAATAGACGAAGCTCTCAAAGATACAGCGAAGGAGACGCACGGACCTCAAACAAGGAAGGCCAGGACAACGTGGTTCGACGATGACTCCCTAGGATGCACAACTAGAAAGAACGAGGCATATAATAAGATGATCCAACGTTACACGCGGCGATCACAGGAGTACAGAACTCGTATTCTCGTATTCCTTTGGTTCCTGAATTACAACTATTCTCCGTTACGATCTCTTATTTCTCCTTTAGTTAATAATCAAATTCTTTCATATTTTATATTTAACAATTTTTTTATATTAGAGATTAATGTGAAGTGGTCAATTGTTTCAAATAAAAAATGAGAGTCGAAAAAGGGATCTATACTACCATATGATATATAGTGTAGATTATATTTATTCATTTTACATTACTACTTACAATGAGAAAACCTTAATTATTTGTAATAAACAAAATTAAAGATACTTTAGACGAAAACTGATTGAAAATTCGTCATCTAAGCACGGTCACACTATTTCAATTAGGAATTTTCACAAACGCAATATTTTTTTATAATAAATATTCCATTTATAAGTAAGTAGATATAATAATTTTAAAATATAGATAAATGAACTTTATTCTAGGACTAGGTATCTTAAGGAATAATAAAAATAAACCAAAAAAACAAAAATCCCACATTTGGCCAAAAACTTCATAAACCAAGATTCAAACAATACATACAACAATAATAAATTGTAAAAAGTTAAAAATAATTTTTTATCATCTATAAATAGAATTGTGAAAAAGAAAAAAAAAATTGAAAGAAAAATCTAAACATAGAGGACAGAAAAAATAGTAAAGAAATGCATGAATTCGAACTTAAAAACTTGAAGAATAGGAACTACCATTTAATTCTAAAGAAAATTCTATTCTGATTTCTTATTATCAACACCTACAATAGAACTGTGTGTATTAAAAATAGGAACGGATAGCAACATTGCAATTTGCTAAGGCTAAATGCTTTAGAAGTAATCAATATTTCCAGTCAAAAAAGATTATTTTGTTCCTATAATTTATGGGATACACTTTAAACTATTAAAAAAACAAATAGGTATACCTGCATCTAAGATGTTTATTTTCATTACCTTTTTTTTTTTAAAGATAATTTTTATTATCTTAAAAAAAATATTGTAATATTTATCAATAAACAAATAATCAATAAAAATAAATAAAAAATATTGAAACAGTATAAAATAAAGTACTGAGACGAGTCTCAACTTTAAATAATACTGTTAGTGCAATAGAAAGCTTTATAAGCTTGTTAATGGACAGTCTTGATTAAAATCATGAGTTCAGAGAGTGGGAAGGGAGTAATCTGCATTTATGGAGTTGAATAGGAAAAGAGAGTAAAATAGGCAACCTTCCTAAGTTAACAAATGTAATGAATACCGACTTTAGTGAGTTAGTTAGCTCTTTAAGGTAGTTTCAATTCAGATTACTTAAATTGAAGTTTATTATATTAAATTTAAAGGATAATTATAATTTCTCTGATAAAATACATGATATGGTGCGTCAATCACCTAATATTCACTTACTTTTCAAGTTATTTGTGTCGTCTTCATGAAAACATAAATTTTATGATGAGAAAAACTTAGTAAGTCAGTTAATATAATAAGAATTAATTCTCTTGATTTTGATTTGTGTAAAAAAGATTGGTGTATAACGTGAATCATTTTAATTAAATAAGACACCACGTCTACAACCATGGTAGTTCGACATTCCGGCCAAATCCTCTCCTAGCTCACCTATAAACTTTGAAACTGACATCAGCATAATCTACCGAACCCGAGAATCTTGATGAGCTAGTGGTAATAAGGTTGTATATATATCCAGAATAGGCTAGTTTCTTGCAGATTTATTTTTTAATCTTATCTTCGTAAACTTCTATCCTTGTTTTTGTACTTG